CTTCCTTATCCCATTTAATATTCACAGTAGCCCTATGAAGATGGGTAGTATGATGCCTATTTTACAGATTAGTAAGCTTTCTTCAAATGAATATTCAGTTAGCCTCCTGATAACCTCAATTTTTTTTTTTGTCATTTTCCTGTCACCTCTAGTTCATTCTGCACCCTAGTAATATTCTCCTCCAGAAACACCTTCTCGTTCTCTGAAATGCGTAGGGATAAAGCCCAAACTTTAAAGAAATCAGGGCCAATCTATAGAACATTAATCTTATACAAATTCCTTACAAGAACCCGTGGTACAGACTTACCCTCAGGTAAACATACTGGGTGTTTTCCCCACCGGCTTCCCCTGTCCTGGCATTGACAGATGCTCACTATTTGTCAGGTACCCTGTTAGTATTTTAGGAATACAGTTCTTGCCTTCAGAAAATTTGTAAAGTGATAAGACAAACCTGGACATAAAACCACTTAAACTTCCTGTATCTAATTCCAGATTAGCTTGGACCCCATGCTCTCAGCAAAACTTTTCCTTCAAGCAAGGCAAAAGTGATCCTACTTTTCTCTGAATGCCTGCATCTTGGATGGATTGTAACAAATACTAACCTTCAGTTTTTGATCTTTAATGTGACTGGATCTTAAAACATTTAAAGGTCATTTATAGGCTAAAGACTATAAGTTTATAGATTATTTTCATAGGTTAAAGACTGTATCAGCAAAGTCCTGAGGTCTCTGAACTCCTGTTTTTAAAGAAAAGATTGACTAATTTGTAAGAATTTCATAAAATTACATAAATAAATTTAAGCCTTGGATTACCATATCTCTTCTAATACATTGCATTGTGGTCTGAGACCACATATATTAAAGTCCAAAAAATTAGATTGACATACAAACATGATGTATCATTTATTTTCTAGATATTTTTTTAACCCTRGTGGGAAGTCGTCATCTTTTTWAAATTAATATTACATTTTAAAATTAATATTACATTTTAAAATTAATATTATTCATCTTTTTCATTAGTTATCAGCACAGACAAAAGCCTTTTGAATATAAGCAAAACCTTAAAAAGTCACCAATAAGTGACTCAGGCTCTGGTCCTTTGAATAGTGGGATTTATTTAAAATGCCATAAAAGACAAGTGGCATGTGTAGAAACAGTYCTGAATGAGGAGTAGAAAGTAGGAAATAGAAATTTGTTGCAGTCCTGACTCTGGTCCTGTTAATAAGTGAACCTGATGAAGTCAAAGCACCATGAGCCCCAATTTCTTCCCCTGCCTAATGGGACCAGCAGCACTGTGACTGTCAGAGTGAGTTTCTGACCCACTGAAGAATTTTAGGAGTGCTTGTCTCTACATGGTGTTAGTTGAATTGCGTTTGTGTAGTTATGTTCCCGAAAGCTCGGTCATTTTCCCCCATGTCCATCTAATAATGAGGGCACGGTTTTGAGATAAAGGAAAAAGAAGGTTTATTACTTTTCTAGCCAAGAAGAAATGCAGGGGACTCCTGTCCAAAAGGCTGTGATTCTGCTCATCAGAATCACAGGAATTGGGGGCTTTTAAAGAGGTACTCAAAGGGTACATTCCATGTGTTCTCTGTCTGGAGTTGTGATTTACTTGTTAATTTGGGAGTCATTTCTGAGGTCTTCTGTTACTATCCCCAAAGTCTGGATTATATGATGCCCATGGTGAGTGTGTACTCAAGGACTGACAAATCTGCCTAGGATGGGGAAGAAAGGTCATCCTGTTTCCCCTGAGATTAGGGAGGAGGAGAGATTAGGGAGGAAGAGCAGGGAGAGAGGAAGAGAAAGAAACATGTCCATTTACAAAATAAGTTGTAGTGACAGAGCAGCAAGGGTTATCTCCAAAGCATAAAGTGGACTGCTGTTACAGTTACTTATCCATTGCCTTAGTTTTCTGGGACTGCCGTAACAGAATATCATAGACAGGGCCATTAAACAATAGCTGTTTGCTGTGTGGTCTTGGGTGAGTCACGTAACCTCTTGGTGCCCCTTGGAGGCTGGAAGGCCAAGGTCAAGGTATCAGTACATTTGGTCTCTTCTGAGGCACCTCCTGYGCTTGCAGGTAGCTATTTCCTCTGTGTCCCCACCTGCTCTTTCCTCAGGGTGCCTAGGCCCTCAGTGTCCCTTTCCATGATCCAGTTTCCTCCTCTTATGAAGACACCAACCAGTCTGATTGGATCAGGCCCCACCTCAATAGCCTTATTTTAACTTAATCATCACTTCCTAGGCCTTGTCTTCAAATACAGTCACATCCAGAGGGACTAGCAGGACTGCAACATGAATTTTGGGGAGTCATAATTCCATAACACCTATTTAAAATAGCACTGATTTGCTTTAAATTATATATGAAGAGACCAGTATGCAGAAGAAACTAAAAATAGCCCTCTAACAAGTTAATGTCTGTTATTATAAGGGGGAGGAGGCAGGTACATGAAAAGAGAATTCAAACTGTATTGAAAGGTTTTAAAGGAAAACTAATACTTTATCCTAACCCTCTTCAACACTGGGCAACTTCTTTAAAAAGATTTCCAGAAATGTGTATTATTCAGAAGCCAGGTGTGATTTCTTTTTTCCCCATGTGTTAATGTATCATAGAAATACAGCTCTGTCTTTGCACACTGGTGTTATAGAGGGCCACATATCCATCATGTATGCATCAGATTCTAACTCAACTAGTCACCTATTAGTGGGCATTTAGGTTGTTTCTGTATTCACCCCTCTGTGCCACTACAAACAGTGCAGTTGAATTCCTTTGAAAAACCCCAAATGGAAAGAATAGTGATAAGCCACCTAATAAAATCAACCACCCTCTGATTTAGGTGAAAATGGTCTGTTTTCCAGCCTCCTCTTTTTTGGTCTTTTCTAGAATTCTGAAAGGTATTTCAGTCTAACACCCCTAGTATCTCACCATATGCCTGTTCCTCCCCTCCCCATGCCGTATGAAGAAAGGGTCTTTCCTTGGTGGCATGAGGTCATCTCTACTCTGTAGTCCTGCTCAGGAAGAAGGATCTGTCTGAATAATTAACAGGTATAGCCTATTTTYAGTTAAGTAAAATAGTTTTTCTTGTAAGAATTGCTGTCTCCATGTCCACGAGGGCACATGAATCCTTTCTGGCTGCTTCTTCCCTTTGGCCAGGGGCCAGCTCTCTAATGGAATGTGAGCAGTGGTACTGCTAATCAAGATTTACAGTGGAGACCAGGATGCCTTCCCCACTCATTGGATTTGCAGACCCTCCAAGCTAACCATGCTGCTGTGAAATTAAGTGCGGTTCATAGCTTCAGTCCCCTTCCAAGTCCTTCTTCTTCCCCAGGCCCAGCCTCTTAGCCACAGGTATCATCTGGTATTATTCTATAAGCTGTGCCACAGTGCAGATGTTCTTTTTCTGAAGAATTAGTTTCATTTCTGACTCATTTCAGGAAATGAGGCAGTCTGTCAGCGGTGTTCTTCATTTCTAGGCCCGTGGAGAATTCATTTTCACYTGGGATTTCTAACCACATGTGGGCAGTACTTTATTTACCCAGATGTGAGAAATACCAGTAATGAATGGTCCTCTTCTAAGGCAGTGCTTATTTCCCTGCAGAATCCCAGGGAAGTGTGTGAAGGCCCAGAGGTAGCTTATGCCCTTATTAACGTAAATATTTCTTGGGCTTTGGTTTTGTGATGCTTGTGGACATGCTGTGTGTATGGGCTTTGGTGCAGGAAAAATATAATTTAGCAACAGATTTAAAAGGTAGTCTGCAGAGTTTCTAATTACTGTTTGTTTAGTTCACCATTGCCTAATAAGTGGATTTAAGTAACCTCCGGGGTAAGGAATGTAATGTTCATATTACAGTCAACCATGCAAATCAAATTCTAACTAAGTAGTRCACAGAACACACCATGGAGTCATTTTATGGAAGTATTCCACTGACTTTTAAATTTAAAGTTGAGAGCATTTTGGATGGGCATTTGCGACCTGTCATGCATCAACATGAATGGTGCACACATCCAAAATCAACCTACTGTGTTGTTAATCCCATTTAAAATTCAACAGTGGCCACTGGCATTCAGTTCTCTTTTTAACTTGACACAGGAATAATGAGGGARAAACTTACAAGCTTTTCTTTTTCCATCCTTCATTGTCTGTAATAGGAAACTGAAGTTTTAACAGTATCTGGAATAGTGRTTGTCAACATTGGTTGCAGCTTTGAATCGGCCTGGGAACTTTTAATATTATAAGATGCTTGAGCCCCACCCCCAGAAATTCTTCTGGTTTTATTGTGTGGAATGCAGTTTACGCTGTGCTCTTTCAAATTCCCCAGAGGATGTTATTGTGTACCAAGGATAGAGAACCGTAGACCTAAGATGTCAGGGACTTGAGGGATCACCTCATCCAATGATTCTCAGCCCTGGCTGCAGATTGGAATCATCTGCAGATCCTGTTTGTTTGGTTCTTTAGCACTGGGTATTGAACCCAGGGGCACTCTACCTCTGAGTTATATATCCAACTCTTTTGAGACAGGGTCTTGCCAAGTTGTCCAAGGCTGGCCTTGATTTTTGCAATCCTTCTGCCTCTATCTGGAGAGGCTTTAAAAGGAACACATATTGCTCAGTGGTGCAGTGCTTGCCTCCCAAATGTGAGGCACTGGGTTTGATCTTCAGCACCATATAAAAATAAATAAAGAGATTGTGTTCATCTATAACTAAAAAATATATTTAAAAAACCCACCAATATCCACCAATTAAAACCACATTTCTGGAAAAGATAGTACTTTTACAAAGCTCCCAAAGTTCTGTTGCCACTGAGTGATCTAACCATTCCATGTCATACATAAGGAAAAAGGAGACCTAGAAAGGTCAGGTGGCATGGTCCAGGTCAGACCCTACTTGTTGCAGAGGCAGTCCTGGGACTCAGGTCTGATGCCTCCTACTGATCTTTCTGCTGCCTAACACCATCCCTTATGTTTGTCTATTGTATTTATTGATGCCTCCTCATCCTTCAGGTGATGATCCTGCCTCCAAGAGGCCCTTTCTGACTCCTCATAAGCTCCTCCCATCCAGCCAGGGTAAGAATCACTTGTTTTGTGTTTGAACAGCACCTTTACTTACCTTTCTGGGAGGATAGGCCCAATTTTTCTTGTCTGTCTGCAACTAGCTGGTGTGTATTAGGGCCCCAAAAAATCTTTGTTAAAAGTCTAACTTTTAGTTCATTGGTTAGTCCACATGACTTGCTAAAAATAATTAATTGGTGTATGCTAGCATCTGAAAGAAAAATTTATTTCCTACTTGTCTGTGGCCTACTGTATGTCAGGATCCATAAACGAGCACTTCCCATCCTGCCTTCCTAGAGAGAGTTTTGGTAAAAAAAATGTTTGATAAAAGGATTTTGACSACAAAATAATGAAAATAAGATTCCAGTGACTTTACATGTTGCTCAAGGTGCTTACAGCATCTGGAGATCTTTGAATAATATAAGTGTGTTCACACAATGAAAGGGAGAACATGGCACTACCTGAAGACAAACACTGTCTGATGAAAATAATGCTAGTTCATTAAAAGATGTTTTAAGGGCTAAATTATCTTCCTAATTATACTAAATACATTGTGAGCAGCCATATTCTGTAGTATGGCTTTGGCTTCTTTGAATTAATACATTCAAGACTTTTCAAATGATAAAATAATCAGTCTATTTACTTCTGTCATTCTATTTCACTTAGAATCATTCTTGGTCAATGTCTTTTTACTGGAAAAACATTTCCATATTTGTGGCATTTATGTTACTCTTCTAACTGCAACACATTCATCTTGGGAAGCAAGATTGCAGATTATGTGTCTTTGGCATACAGGAGGCTCCATATAGGTGTGATAGAAAGTAATGGTTTTTTTGGATGGAAAACTCATAGTTTAAATTTTTTTGGAACCAAGACTGCAGACTGGGCTGTTGTGTAGTAACCCCCAATATGTTAAGATGTTGTAGACATGAGAGAATAATGGCCAAAATGTATGAAACCACTTTGCAACCTTAATAAGACCTCACAAGTTCATGCATTGTTAAGTGTTGTCATATCCCAGGTAAGTGGCAATGTGGAAATGAAGCCACCATATGTTGGGAAAAATATTTCTAAAAATTTCAGGAAAAAGCAAAGTAATTTAGTTGGAGGTTAATGTAAAACATTTTATATTAAACAATTCTTATTATTCTGCAAATATACAAAATTTTTGTTACGTTTTAAAAATAACACATGAAATTTTGAAGAACCACCTCCTTCCAGACTTTGTTTTTTCTCCTTTCTGGATGAAAACTTGAACAAACCAAAAAAGTTATTGATGAGTAACCCCTTCTGTTATTCTAACTTCCAAGGCTCAGCAGGACATTCTAAAAAAGAAGGGAAAGAAGGGTGTATTAAGTATGCAGGGCTTGTGTTCAGTGCTTCTATTTATATTGTGCTATCAAATCTTTATAACTGCCCTGCGAGTTAGGACTTTTTGACATTAGTTTTTTCAAGTGACTAGATGTATATGCACCTGTTTACCAAGAAAGAGAACCAGTGTCCTTGTGCCTTTGCCCTCTATGGCATGATAGTGGAGAAGTCTCCAAAAGAGATGTTATCGACTTTATCATGCTGGTGAAAGGACTGGCTTTTAGTTTCTCTTAGTGTTCGTATCACTAAGTTGATAAGAGGTAACAAGTGTTGGTAGGGTGTGGAGGAAAACGAAAGCTTGTACACTGGTGGTGGGAATATAAATTGTCCAGCCATTATGGAAAACAGTATGGAGGTTCCTAAAAAAAAAAAAAATATATATATATATATATGCTAAAATAAGACTATATGATCTAGCAACCCCATTTCTGGCTCCAAAGGAAATGAAATCAATAGAGGTATCTTGAAATCAAAAGAGGTATCTTTATCCCTATGTTCATTGTAGAATTATTCACAATAGAAAAAATATGGAAACAATATGTGTCCATTGATGATGAATGGAGAAAGAAATTGTGGCACTTAGTTTTTTATTCAGCCATAAAAAGAAGGAAATCCTGCCAATTTTAACAGGATGGACAAATCTAGATGATATTATGTTAAATAAGCCAGACAATGACAGATACTGCATGATCTCACTTATGCATGGAATCTAAAAAAGTCAAACTCAGAGAAGTAGAAAGTAGGATAATGGTTTCCAGGGATTAGGAGGAAGGAAACRAAGAGATATGGTCAAAAGATGTAACATTTAAGTCACAGGTGAGTAAGTTCTGGGGATCTAAGATATTGGATGAGTGGTGACAGATGTGTTAATCATTACACTGTGTCTAATGAAGTCACATAACATACCTTGAATATATTCAGTCTTTATTTGACAGTCAAATATTTTAAAAGGGAAGGAAGAAGGGCCGTTTTTGGTTAAAAGTCAGCTCGTCATAGAATTTTGTGATCTGACACTAATTCTATGCATTTGGTTTGGGAAGGCAGCAAAGCAAAATGGTCAGTAATTTGCTCTTTTCCATGAGATTCCTGGGTTTGAGGATCTTGGTGATTCCATTCACTTGCTGTGTGGTCTTGGGTGAAGTCACGTAACCTCTTGGTGCCTCAGTTTCCTCATGAGTGAAACATGAATAATAATGACTCAATTGCTATTCATTTTCTTCTCTCAGGCTCTGGGTTAGAAAAAATGTAGAAGCCTCTAGAGTAGTTCTGTCCTGCCCTCACAAACCTGGTTCTCTTTGCTGCGAGTGCTAATCACTTTCCATTTGCAAAGCCTGCCCATTCGAGCCTTTCCTCTTGCAGGAGGATGCCCAGGGACCAGGCACCTTTGAAGCCAAGCCATGGTGCTAATGAACAGGGCCTCTGCTCAGATCATTAAGTAGTCTAAGTGCACTTATGTGTGAGGGACGATATGGCAGAGCACTTTCGTTTGTTATGAGTCACACAGGCTCCTGGCACTTTTCCGTGGAGCTCATGCTTATCTCAGTAGCTCTGGGCATGGTTCCTTCCTAGGTTTCTTTCCCTGGCTCCACGATGCAACTTCATCTTGAGTTTTTGCTCAAAACTGACTTGCTTTCTAGTTTATTTTCTTTTTCTGGCCTCTAAACTTTGGAGTGCCCAGGACTTAGGTCACTAGCCTCTTCCCCATATCAACTTGTTCTGTAGGGGATCCTGGTCATCCTGAGCCTCAAATACCATCTGTCTAGTGACAACTTCCGCCTACCTGTCTCCACTTCTGCGTTCACCTTGCTTTGCACCTGCCTGCTCGCCTCTTCACTTGGTTGTCTGATTCACTTCCCAACTTTGCATGTCTCAAAACAAATTCTTGTTTTCTGAACCTCAACTTGTTCTATTGTTCATCCCATCATTGTATCCACTTAGTTGTTCATATCCCAAACCTGGAGCCACAATGATCCCTGCCTCTTGCCTCTCATATTGTCTTCATTACCATCTATCCCAAATCCAGGTTTTCCTAATTCTTGCTCCTACACCTAAATTTGAGCCCCTGAAATTGCTGTAACTTTTGTGGTCACATCATTTTTATTTTATTGATTAAAAAACATGACAGCGGAATGCATTACAATTCTTATTACACATATATACCACAATTTTTCATATCTCTGTATATAAAGTATGTTGACACCCAATTCGTGTCTTCATACATGCACTTTGGATAATGATGTCCATTACATTCCATCATCCTTGCTAATCCCTTGCCCCCTCCCTTTCCCTCCCACCCCTCTGCTCTATCTAGAATTCATCTATTCCTTCCATGCTCCCCCTCCCTACCTCACTTTGAGTCAGCCTCCTTATATCAGGGAAAACATTGGGCATTTGTTTTTTGGGGGGATTGGCTAACTTCACTTACCATTATCTTCTCCAACGCCATCCATTTACCTGCAAATGCCATGATTTTATTCTCTTTCAATGCAGAGTAAAATCCATTGTGTATAAATGCCACATGTTTTTTGTTTAATCCATCCATCCACTGAAGGACATCTAGGTTGGCTCCACAGTTTAGCTATTATGAATTGTGCTGCTATAAACATTGATGTGGCTATTTCCCTGTAGTATGCTGTTTTTTAAGTCCTTTGGGTATAGTCTGAGGAGAGGGATAGCTGGGTCAAATGGTGTTTCCATTCCCAGATCTCCAAGGAATCTCCATACTGCTTTCATATTGGCTGCACCAATTGCTAGTCTGTGGTCACATCTTAAACTGTCTGTCTCCATTCGTGCACTTTATGGTCTCTAGTTTGCACAATAGCCACAGTGATACTTCTCTTTTATACCTTCTTACTGTCTTGGTGGTTTCTATGCAAACAACATAAAAAAATCCAAACCTTAGGCAGATGGAAAGTGGTGCAGCAYGGGCGGCGCAGAAAGCAGAGGCTTTGCTTGTTGGTCACCAGACTGAGTTCTGAATACAGCACAGGTAACCCCAGCACCCCCCACCATACCAAACACCCTACTCGGGAAACAGATGGAATCCATCTTGGAAAACTTCACTCTCCATCTATCGGTGGGTGTGGTTACCAGTGCGGTTCTGTGGCTGATAAGAGAGATTTTGGAACTATACAAGAGCAATATAAATATATAGGGGAAAAACATTAACACAACAGTCACCAAGAACTGGAAAGAAACGTGAGCAGTATAAAGACAAGGAAAGAAAGTACCACAAACAATGCAGGACAACTCAACATTAGAAGAGGTAACATCTGCAGCAGAAGGAATGTCAGATAAAGATTTCAGAATATACATGGTTCATATGATCTGGAGTCTCAAGGAAGACTTTAGACAGCAAATGCAGGCAATGAAAGATCATTTTGACAATGAATTACATAAAAAAAGAAGCAAAAGATCAACTCTACAGGGAGATAGAGGTTATACAAAAAAAACAAACAGAAATCCTAGAAGTGAAGGAAATAATAAACCAAATTAAAAACTCAAATGAGAGTATCACCAGCAGAGTAGAACACTTAGAAGACAGAATATCAAACAACGAAGACAAAGCATATCATCTCGAGAAGAGTGTAGACAGCACAGTGAAACTGATAAGAAACCACGAGCAGAATATCCAAGAAATATGG